ATCTCGGGCGCTTCGAAGGATTTATGGGTGCATTGGCCTCTGCTGCCTTCTTTGTCGTAGGCCCTGACTACATCTCTATGGTCGCTGCCGAGTCCAAGCACCCCAGCCGATATGTTAAGACTGCCTTCAAGACCTGCTACTTCCGTTTCGGTCTCTTCTTCATCGGCGCTGCCCTCACTTGTGGCATCGTCCTTAGCCATACTGATGAGACACTCGTTGAAGTCCAATTTGGCAGTGGATCCGGCGGTGGCACTGCCGCTGCCTCTCCTTGGGTCATCGCTATGTCCAACCTCGGTATCGAAGGATTGCCCCATCTCGTCAATGCCCTCCTTTTCACGACTATCTTCTCTGCCGGTAACACATATGTATACTGCGCAACTCGTTCGCTGTACAGTCTCGCACTCGACGGACGTGCTCCTGCCTTCCTCCGCAAGACCACTAAGAGCGGTATCCCTATCTGGTGTTTCACCGTCACCATGGTCTTCCCTTTGTTGGCCTTCCTTCAACTCGACAGCTCCTCCGCCGAGGCTTTGACGATCCTTCTCGCCCTCATTACTGGAGGAGGTATCGTGGATTATATCACCATGAACATTACCTTCCTCTTTTACTACCGTGCTTGCAAGGCCCAGGGCATTGACCGCAAGAAGATGCCCTACTTTGGCTACTTCCAGCCTTACTGTGCTTGGATTGCTCTCATCCTTCACACAGTCGTTTGCTACACCTATGGATACACATCCTTGGCCCCCTTCGATGCAAAGAACTTCTTCTCCAACTATACCATGCAAATCATCGCCCCTTTCATGTACCTTGGCTGGAAGCTCTTTAAGCGTACCAAGATTGTCAGTGCCAAGGAATGCGATCTTGTCTGGGAGCGACCTGTTATTGACGCTTACGAGGAGCGCGCTATGATCGTTGACCCTCCTACTGGCTTCTGGGAGGAGATCATTGGTCTTGTTGGTATCAAGAAGAACAAGAAGAAGAACGCTGCTGAAGTCCACGTCTAAGCGTGCACCTGGAAATGGTGAACGCGCATGAAGAATGACGCTGTGACATCCATGATGCGCAGAAGAAGTGAGTCGATTCGACAATCGTCGTGGCTGAGAAGAGGTTAATCCCACTGGTCATCATCATCGCTTCGATGAGGGCGAGGAAAGTTCGCTGCTGCGTCGCCTGAAGTACTGGCGGCATAAAAGATACCCAAACGTCATTCCCCAATGGGTCGAGTGACGATAGCTTTTATGAATTAGAGTGTATATATGAACATATGAATGAACATATCCTGCTATGATTGATCTATTTGCGCCTCTCACCAACATATTGATACAGTCTCGCGAACCACTGAGAAGCGGGATCCTTGTCCCCCAAGTTTAGGCCAATGTACCTAATATTCTATCGCTTAGTCCTAGTCATCAGCTTTCCTATCTCCCGCAGAGCAGGCTCATGCCATACCGGAAATGAGTGAGGTCTGACGGCCTGAAAAGCCAGCTTCATACTTCGGATCGGCGCCGACCGCCGAGTGGATTCCCCGGGAGGAAGAAAATGACCGGCTGAACGCAGCGTTATAATTTCTTGGACCTCATCTGTATCTTTGTAAGGTCGATTGAAGCTGTAGGCGACCTCATCTGTATCTTTGTAAGGTCGAATGAAGCTGTAGGTGATCCGCTGTCTGGGTGTGCGTGGCTGGATGCCGTTGGCCATCATTCTAACGGCTCTGAGCGACCGTCACACCCCCCAGCAATAGCCCTGCTGTTCAACCCTCGATATGCTCCCACATCTTTCTTTTGGTCGGACCAGTTGAGTATCTCGAATAGCACTTGAAATGTACTCAATTTCAAGCCAATGCCTTCGTTTTGCGTATTCCAAGATGCTCTCCACAGAACACTTCCTATCCCGCCATTGCAATGGAACCCGAACAGCCCATACACCAGACCAGTATTTCATCTCCGGCTCACCGTTCAAGAGGCCAAGAGAAATTCGCTTTCGCTCTGTGTGCCTGCCAAAAAATAGCCACTCTCGAACAACAAAATCTGGGTTTACAGTACTGAGGGCAGAATTCTTGGGTTTCCAAAGATCTTCAGGCACCTTGGCGCCATGAAGCATAAGAAACTTGACTGCCTCCCATCTGTGGTTTTGAATGGCAGTATTTAGGGGCGATCCGTGTTCACGACAATGGTGTTCGAGGTCACTAATCCCAAGCTTGATGAGGTTCTGAATCGCTGTGACCGAACCCCAGCTGGCTGCTCGACATAACAAACTATGAGTACCGGGGGTTCCCAGGTCACATAGATGGCGGACACCCTCAATTTTGATTGAAGGTTTGACATAACGAAGGCTGTAGGTTATATCAACCAAGGCATCTACTCCTTTACAGAAGAAATGGTCAGGCCAGCTGCTGAGCTTTTCCACTTGTAGATCGAGTCTCATGTCCAACATGCACCGCAAGTAACCCCGACAAGGTCTTGTAAAAAGATAATGGGAAGCGGAAGAACCGAACTTATCATATACGTATAGATCGACACCATGATCTAGGAGCCGCTTGAAGAGCCCAATATTGGGTTTGGCGCCTGGTTGGCAAGTCCATAAAGTCATGAGGCTGAGGAGATTTCTTCCGTCCATGTTTATTTGCCTGCTTAATAGTCCGGCCCTGAGAAGAATGTTGACCATTCTCCACGATTTCTGTGCGAAAGCCACATCAACGAGTCCGTGAGATGAAGCACTCATCACGTCGATATTGGCACCGTGACCGATGAGTAGCTCAACAACTTCTATCGCACCTTGCTCAACTGCAACAAAGAGTGGCGTGCAATTTTTGTCGTCGGTAATGTTGACATCGGCTCCATGAACAAGTAGAGCATTTGCCGCTGTCGCATTGTTCTGTGCGGCTGCCGCAAAAAGAGGAGTCCGGTTCTGATGATGGATATCCCTCTGGTTAATAATAGCAATCTGGAAACTGCCTATCTGAGGACTGGAATGGTCTTCTTTCCCTTGTTCTTAAGATGAAGTCTGCGGCCTCCTGGTGAAGAAGAAATCTAGGGCAGCCTGGCGTGTTGCTTTCACCAAGGACCTCGAGTAATCGGGGAAAGACAGACCATATCTGAGAGGTCTCCGATGTGAAACAAGGCATCTCCAGGCACCGATCATAACGAGTCCTGAAGAGTTGCACATCGTGAGCCGTGATTGACACACCAGCCCTAAGAAGCTCGATGATAAGTGGAACATTGTTGGTAAATATGTCAGGACATGATAAAGTGAGGGATATGATAGTTTCTGATGATAATGGGGATGTCAGGGGTAAGGCTGAAGCTTTCAGCAACAATTGGACTGTTTGTAGCCGAGCCAGGTGCACATCATGGAAAACTATTCGGCCAGTAATGGGACCACCGGATATGATATCATTGCTTCTTAAGTTCAGAAAACTGTAAAAGAAACCTCGACCGCCAAGGGAACAGTGTAATGGAGTGCCGAACCTGCTGCATGCCAGCACATCAGAGCCACTCTCCAGCAACTCTTGACACATGTCGTACATACTGAATGCAGCTGCCATGTGAAGAGGGGTGAATTCAGGTCTGAGAACTGCAGTAATAACTTGCGATAGAACCCTTCTTGACTCAGAAGAGCCGTTTGTTGAAGACGAGGGATGATGACTGAATATGAAGTCAATTGCCCACAGACAGAAGGTGGGCGTTTTGGATGGTTGGAAGAGCTTCCGCACGAGTCTATGTGTCCTATCTTCCATATTTGACGATGACGTTATATATGGCGTCCAAGTCAATACCGATTTGCAGTAAAAGGTTCTGCGTCTGCGCCGAGCAATCATGTCCCCGATACTACGTGTTATGTCGGGGGTAGGCGGAAATCGCTCCATGTCCTCCATAGTGAGGAAACGTAAACAGAGGAAAGAAAATAAGTCTATACCATCTACGCGCGATACAGCGTATTCTCTGAGCTTTGAGTATTGATGATCCGAATTGCGAGTCTTCAAGGACAGAAGATATTCTTGGACTGTAAAGTGTGCAAACTGAATTCTTTTGCCATTGGCGAAGGAGCTGGATTTGTTGACTCGAACAAGGCTACTGCACCACCGAAGCAATTCTTTTTCCTCTACAATCTCATCATCTTCGAGAGTTGTTGCGCCGTCTTCCAATGAAATGGCCTCGCAGATTTCTTCAAAGCAGAGTGAGGAGATAGACGTCGCGAGCATTAATAGCGTTCCCTTGACCAGTCGTTTGACCGCATCGTTGCAGCCATCAATTCTTAGCAAGATCCGGTCACAAGTTGCATAGAGAGAAGGGGGAAGCTTGCTCAAGGCTTCACGTCGAGCTCTGTCTGTTGGGAGTTCACACATGTAGTCCAGTTGGCAGGCTACTCAGCGAAACCTCGAGACCCATTAATTAGAAGTGAGTGGTATCGGAGCAAGTGTAACTTACATCCCTTTAGCTTCCCCAACCAATCTAGTCATAATGAGGTCTTTCAGAGTTGGGTCATGAAGCCTCAGCCGTTTTGAAGCAATCTTTTCGTTAAGTTCCGAGGCGACATAGAGTTGCAGGTCCTCAGTATGAGCCTCAATTTCGACATGAGAAAAGTCCTTTTCTAAACGCGTGCGTATAATGCTCTCGTCCCGGCTAAATAATGCCATGTTGATAACATCGTCCCCTTGTGACAGCGCAAGCTCGGCCAAGCACTTTACATTTGCTTCGACTCGATTGTCACACTCATCGATACCATCGACGATAGTATAGACGCGGGTAAAGCAAGCACAGATACGATGTAGTAACTGTGTGAGCATTTCGGCGGTGGGCTTTGTAGAGAGGTGATGACTTGAGAACAGTTGGTCGTGATACTCCTGTAAGATACGGAAAGCTTTTTCGCTCTGCAGGGCAAGTTGGATGCAAAGGGAAGAAAGAATGTTGACCATATGCTGGGAGCGCTCATGTCTATAGGTGCAGAAGAAGTACGCTATTGCTTTGTGTGCATCATGAGCGTTTCTATGCAAACACTCCTTAATCACGGCTGCAGAAAAGGACAGACTTCCCAGCACCAGGTATACCACTACACCAGAGCCTTGAAGCTGGAGTCGAGTACCAGCAGTCAAACTCTGGACCTTGCGTGAGCCAGAGGCCGGTAAGGTCATGCCGTAGTCTATTGTTCGTCTCGTATTCACCCCGAGGATTGAATTGGCCAAAATCTTCGAGAACTTGATTCCTTTTGGTATCGAGGGCAATCTTGACTTGTATATCCAAGATCTTTTCAGCGGTGCGATTGATCTTTTCAAGGCCATCCTTCATTTCGATTTGTCGGGATAAGCAATGTTTGAGCTTGGCTAGAGAGTCGGCGGCAAGAGCTGTGTGGATGATCTGGTTGTAGCGTTGTATATCCTGGATCATGTCCTTGGACTCGGTTGAAGTGAATGGCCATTTCAGTCGAGCTTGCAGTCTTTGGCGCCCAGAACCCGAGTCTAGGGAAGCCTCTATACGCGAAAGACCTGTCTCCAAGCGTCTCAGCAGCTGGTGGCAATCATGGAGATAATGCGGTTGAAGAGCAGGCGGCGGCTCGTGAACAGCAGCAGTTGTTTCGGGTCGTTCGGTTTCTTCCAGGTCAAAAGCGACAAGAGAAAGGTTGTGCAAGATGACAGAGAGACTTCTGACTTCGCGCATGAGGTTTCCAACCTCTGTTGGGGTGCCTCTGTAGCCCTTGACGTATTTGGTGCCTGATCGAAAGACGAGATCGGCAAGAGCAACTAACCCAGCGATGCTCGCTGAGATGGAAAGAGGGTCCGCCATTCCAATGGAAGGTAGGTTGAGATGAAAACGGCAAGAATGAAGATAGCAAAGAAAGAACAAGAGCATGAACGAGATCCGAACTTCCTCGATTGATTGAAGAGAGGCACGTATGGTACCCTGTGTACCTAGGTAAGTACCTAACTTAGAAACTGGTACGTGTTTTAGCAGCTGTCAGCTCAGAGAGCCTTGCGGTCAGCCTGCAGACGATGGAATTGAAATTTCACCAAGACATTCACCATCATCTTAATCCTGACCTTACTTACACTACTGATATTTGCAAATCGATAATAATACTTAAAACCAAGTCCCAATCTTCCTTTAAGCTGCGCCTTCCATCAAAAGCATAACTCAACTTGAAAGATTGAGTTACTGGACCTATGAATCTCCTTATTGTCGGCCAGCGGCGCGTTCAGTCCTTCACGACCTTTTCAGGAACAACTCCATGTCCATTCCGTGGAGGTGGCCCAAGGTATCAGGTAGTCCAGTACCATCGGGTAGGGTCATTGTCTCCTGCGCACGCAATAGCCCTTCGCGATGAGGAAAGCCATGACAAGTCCCATGCCAGCCAGAATTACCTTTGAGATGGTTTTTGCCGCCCGCTTAGCTATTCCCTCCCACAGCTCTTAGCCATCAGATCCACCGTCCAACTCGTGACCAAAGGATGTATTTAGAAGTTCTTCGATCTTCCGATCGGTGACAGTAGCCGTACAAGCTTTATTCTCCGCAGCCATTGACATATCGATCTTTTGTTCCTCTGGACCAAACTTGCAGGACTAGCAGTCCCCATAGCTGAGACTTCCATCGTGGATTCCTCCCCACTTGGTTGCACAAGCAGTGACGTTGGAATTGGGATCATAGAAGAACGCCTGGTTTGAGTCCCACATGTCTGTACCGAAAAAGGTGTTCTCAGACAAGAAGAACTTGGTTTCAGGAGATATGCCTTTTGTCGAAAGGTCTACTGTAACAGACGTGCCTATGTGGGGAGTTGGACTGTAAGATCCACGGCGTATGCTCTGTTGTACCTACTGATAACTTACCTGTACTTGGACTCGTCCTTCTTCCTTCCGTCCCAGACCGTTTCGCCAGTGTTGCTCTCCTTTCTGAGCTGTGGCCAGATGATACAGGCGATGCCCGCATTGCGGAGTTTGTAATATCTAATTCCGATCGTGGCCATTTTGCTTGCTAAGAAGAAGTAGAATGTACTGCGATGAACAGGGCAATAGTTTGAAGAGTGCAGTTGTTGGGATGAATTTTGTTTTGCTTGTTATGAAGAGGGCAATACTAGCTCAATGCAGACTTTAAGTACTAGAACAGACACCGTTTATAATATCTGAAAAAACTCACAGTGCGGCAATGTTTTTTGCGAACTCAATTGGATTGCGCGTCTGGACTACGGCATCCCCGGTATCACAGGACACTACAGATCATCTAATCATTCGATATATCATTACTTGCTCAGCCACTTTCAACAGCCGAAGACCCTTGAGTAGCTGAACTTCTGTGAACTGTTGATCTAAGTCGTTTATTTACAGGTTTGAGCTCCATTAATACTAGGGAACTTCGGTTATCATACGATAAGGAGAAGTCGACTTGGAACTTCGGACTAGCCGACCTACATTGGCTCGCTGATAGTTTAAATAGGAATAGTGGCGAGAGGCTGAAATGCCGTAGCTTGCCCATGTGTCCAATAATGTTGCCATTCTATTTGGCGTCAATGAACTATTGACGGATGGTGCGGGCCAACCCCCTGGTAGCTAATCCTTGGTCTAGACATTCACTATCACATTTGCAACAAATTCATCCTTCGACAAACTGCTTGGCGCTTAGGACTAAACCTGATAGGTCGAAAACGATGGAAAGGCGACCTGCAAATGTTCAACATCCAGAGAAGATGGAAAAGTTCTGAAAGCGATGTCTAAATTGTGAGCTAGAAGTGTTATTTGCCGCTGAGACTTATGGCTGAGAGCTTAATCCAGCCGAGAGAACTTAGTTCTGAAAGCGACTAGCTATTATTTAAGATGTCTTAAGTTCGATATCGTATAACTGGCCACAAAGTACTAGCGCCTGACCCCTAATATTAATGTCACCAAACCTTTATGCCATGCCATTGAAGTCATTAAAATCGAAGAACCCATTTGCATCCATCATTGACTGATCCATCCCCAAATATCCCATATCTATATACGTGGCAACGTCTGGCACGCCCGAATCTACAGATTTGAACCACTCATCCGTAAACATTCCTTGATCTATCGTTTCTCGCGAAGCTTGTGGATCAGGTGCCGCCAGCAAAGAGTCAATCTGACAGGCAAAGAAACGAGCAAGATCAAAGTAAAGATGTACAGATGATGAAGCTGGAAGGTGTTGTACCACGCGGTCAAAGAATGGAATGACACTGATGACCTTTTCTGCAGCGGCGGCAGTTTCTTCGGCTGTGATGCCGCCTTTCTTTACAGCCTGGGTACCAGATTAGTGATGTTCGAAGACCCAAGGAAGGAAGAGACCTACCCGAAGTACCTCAGTCATAGCGTGGCAGATCATAATGAACTGGTTATTCTGAAAGCCAACTGAGACGTCGTTCATTGTTTTGTCTGTTACCAAATGATCAAAGATACGACCAGCAACTTCAATGCTCTTTCTCTGGATGATCAAAAGCGCTGATGTCGTCGCACTATCAGAGGCGGTCAAGTCTCGCAAAGCCTGAGCGTTGAAGACCAGAATACTGTGATCCATGTAGAAAGCCAGGATAGGGAGATATTTCGAAGATGGCAAGTCATCGGATTGACAGCGTTCGTTGCGGACGCGAGTGAGGCGCTCGTAAGCTTCTTTGTGCCATTCCAGGATCGACGCTGGTGTCGAGACTATATGTCTCCGCTTCTCCATTGCTTGGAGCTGTGACAAGGATCGTTAGCTGGATGTCGACCGCGTCAGTATTGAGCTTACCAATAATCCTCTAATCTCGATCACTCCACTGATGATACGATCTGTTGGTTCTGCCATAGGCGATTTCCACCAATCTACAGCAGTACGGGGTACTGCCCTCCAGCTCATACACTGCAAACGGCCATTAAGGGCCCCGAAGCCTTTATCTACGATAAAGGTATATAGCCACGCTCTCTCATAGTTTCTGGCGTACCTATTGGCCAGCTCTGGCGAAGCATTAGGGAATTCTGCGTTGACATATTCTTTCACAACGTCTGGTCTGTTGATTCCCATCTCCTTGGCCAACTGAACAGCCTGCGAAGAAGTCAGCACATATCTGGAAAAATATGGAAATACTTACATGGCTTAGTGTCAGCCAGTATGGATCATCTGCTTGCCTTGCAGAGAGAGGGGCCCAGTATTGGTAGGCGATAATGGCTTGAACAGTTGAGAGAGATTTTACCGACGCGGCGATACACCATCTAATATTGCCACTGGCTAATGATGACAGAACGGGGTATATGGCTCGGTCGCGAGGACGTGCTGAGACAGCACACCCCAGAGCGCAGATCACGGAAAATAGGGTGAATGAGCACCCATAGACATACTCACGAGTGTGTAATGTGGCGTCTAAGAGGCCGATCAAAGGATGGCGGATTTGGAAGAATCTTTGCTATCCGTCAGCACTACGGTGACAATATATGCGGGTTGTTAACTTACAGCTGGAAGTATAGTGCAGCGTCGTTGTCATCGATCAATCTTGAAGCAAGAGGATCGCAGGTGTCTCTCTCCAACTTGAACGGAGAGTCAACTGCTTGAGTTGCCAGAATCTCCCAATCTTTCTGTTGAGCTCTATGTGACGCTATTATGGGTTAGAGAGTATGAAGAAGAGATATGCTTTCACCTACCAAAATACACGGCGAGTCGTTCTTTTATTGGTGCCATGATAGCTTCGCGCATACCCGGCTGCATCGGCATCTGAGACCTAAGTCTGTCACAAGCCGCAGAGGAACTCATCGAAATAGCAGCAGTGACCATAGTGATGGGTGAAACCAAACCATCTGCATCATCGCTCTCGTCATAACTGACTGATCGTCGATGAGTGACAGACCGCGACGATTGGCTCGCATCGTGACCATACTCAGGCGCTGAATCGGTACCCTGTCCATGTGTCCACGGCGTTCCTCTTATAGACACTGTTGTATTTGGGCTGGGAAGAGTTTGACCTAGAAGAGCTGTGAGGACTTCCTCGCGAGCACCGCTTTCTTCGATGCGAGCGAGGAGCTTCTCTACACTATCTGGTTTGCTGTGGAGCGGTTAGAAACGCCTCATGAGTGAGTTACAGTCTTACTTTGTGCTACCATGCTTACGACCCCTGTTCGAACGAGCTGGATATTTACAAATGCGATCATGAGAAGCGCAGCGAGAACTAATACCGCCGTGTCAGTCTCGCGTGAACATGGTCAAGGCTAGACCGACTTACCAAGGATCCTGGCGATCGCACTTCTGCCTCGATGCACGGCAGCTAAAGCATGCAACCTGATGCTGCTGCACCTTTTCAGCCGGAACTTCCATTTCGGTTATCTCTGTATCGTTAGGAGTGGACCTGGGGGGATCGTTAGTCGCCAAGAGTGAAATGCGGGAGGTTCGGGGTCTTGTAAAGTGGTCGCTGTTTTGATCTAGACCCCGGTAGTATCCACACGTGATCGTCCTGAGTAATCAGTGGACCAGAGCATTCCCCAGAAATGGATAGTATGAACCTCGAACGGCGTTTAATTATTGAAGAAATACAATCGTGTGATTATTTGGCTGGTGAGCATTCAATCTTAATTAACTCTTGGAGAAGAAAACTACTTTCCATACCATAAATTGATCCGAAAGAGCTTTAATCTATTTCATCCAACTTTAGGCATCTATAGGGTAAGATTTCAACTTCAACATCAAAATACAGCATAGAAGTGAAATGAATACCATCTGATAGTCTCAAGAATATTGCTTAACCTATTTTAGTGAACAGAACTATTTTATCCCATCACTTTATGCATCGAAGACGGGGTCTTAGAGACACAGCACAAACGAGTCTATTATCGTGTCGCCTCATATCTCATACAAGGACAACATAGCGAAACATAGTGATCATGTTGCCAGTATCATCCCTCCTACCATCACCTCCAGAAGTGGTTCTCTGGTGATTTCCAAGTTTTTGAGGTTCCTGCAGTCCAGGATGTCCTCCATACCTTGCATCAAAGGCCCTGGCCTGAGTCGAAAAGACCAGGAATGAGCTCCAGTTAGTCTATCGGAGTCCGATGTTAAAAACCAGACAACAAAGAATGGTCGCAATCAGAGGGTTCACAACGAAGGCATAGGGCGAAGACATTGCCGGTTCAGTCTGTGGTTCTCGCCATTCTAAGAACGCGGCATAGTCGTTGTTCGACATGGCGACATATCTGAGCCTATCGCCATGGCTCTTGTAGATATCCTCCAGGGTCCACTCATTCTCCTCTGCAGGACCGGCTATTGCCTCCATTTGACACAGAAGCCAGTCGTGGAACTCTTCCCACTCCATAGTGTCGGATGAGAACAGTGCTCAATCAATAAAAATGATGCTGGTGAAAGCGGATACGCTGACTGGAAGAGGGTAAGATCGGGGCGAAAGGGTGCCGAAGAAATACAAGATAGAGGCTAGGCCTTCCAGAACGATTGTGGATAGAGGGAGGGAAAGGAATAAGACCTAAGCAAATACCAGATCTATGGGCTGTGAGAAGGAAAGAAACACAGTTGAGGTCGAGGAATGAGAATGGTGTTTACGCTATAACCTGAATAGTGGCAGTGACGTTACTCCTTCGGCATTGGCTAAAAGGTATGTAACTTTCTCAAAGCTGCTACTAGATACGGAAGCCTATTGGGAACAGCCAATAGTTAATCAGTTGAATCATTCAATGACTTAAATATCAGAGACTAGTGTTCAACTAGGTACACAACAGATAGCCTATTGTTCGGACTGTTTGTATCCCATAATTCCCAGATCTTTCGAACAGTATATGCGCAAGTCGCGGTGAATGAGACAAATCGCTTGAATTGTTCTGCCATCGTCACAAAGGTGCCTTGCATGTAGTCAAATTACTATGTTTTCTGTCACGCGTCTATTTCATCACAACAAAGACCAAGTTTGTTCAACGACCAGATAGCCGCATAGGCAGATGCATCACTCGTTTCCGGTTTCAGAAGATGACAAGCGTTACGTTAAAGCTCGTGTCAACTGGAGACAAAGAATAGCAGAATATAGGGCAACTACTAGCCGTAGCACAACATGGACTCAGTAAATGCTTGCGATGCTGGTTTGCTTTTGAGTCTCTGCATCGAAGGCGACAAAACGTCTTCTTTGTCCCATTTATCTTGGGAAATTCTAACGCTTAAAATAAAGAATTTAATAATGATCAGTCGCCAATCATCTTCCTTTCAATCACAGGTATCCATGCCCGCCTCCCGGTGAACTCCCATAGCCTCCAGCTGGCGCCAATCCGCCACCATGCGTTGTCCCTGAAACACCACCATAAACTCCCCCATTAACACCTCCATTTGGCCCTCCACTGACTCCAGAATAAACACCGCCATTGACACCACCGTATAGGCCGCCGCCATGCGGTCCACCGACGCCTAACGACCCATTACCAGAGCTGTAGCCAACTCCGTAGCCGTACTTGTCTTTGTCCCCTGATGGTCTTGGACTGCCGTCGAACTTGCTTCCTTGGAGTCTTGATGTAGCTTCTGGTGTTCTGCGCCCAAGACTTGTTGGCCGTGGAGGCGGTAGATCGTCCTTTTCGTCCTTGTCTTTTGAGAAGAGATTGAATAAGCACATTTGAAGGATTGATAGGTTATAAGATAGATATTTGAGCAGATAATCGCTTAGAGATAGAGTTCGAGTTGTGAAAATTTAGGTTTTTGTCGTTCAAAATTTTGAGATTAGGAACAAGGTTAAGAAAACGCGTATTTAGGGGTAGAGATTGACTTTTAAAACGACAACGGGGAATATTTAGAATTAAGGTTTCTCGTCTCCGACACGCGTTCCAGTGTTAAAAAGCGGATTTTAGTGGCTGTGCGAGCCTACTATGGCCAATGGGACAGGCCGCTTGAACGCTTGGACGGCACCGCCACTAATGCTAGGACCTTGTAGGCGCCTGATCTAACACAGCCTGAAAAGACCCTGCATTCAGCTCTTGCGACACGGACGACACGACAGCATTACGAGGTAGTATCCAGGCCATTTATGGGACTCACATATAGTTTTGTTCTCTTAAGAATGTATCAATGGAATCTCCCGAAATTCTTAAAGCCTTGACTGCCAGCCAACCTTACGAGAGCGCTACGGCCGAGAACAATCCGTAGCCGGTCACTAGAAATTAAGCTTCTTATCAGAACAACACATATACAACTTTATTTTCGCATTTAAATGTCGTATTCACAGTCGTCTTGCATGCCTGTACAGGTAAATTTTCGTAGTCAGCAAGCTACTGCGACTTTCCCATATAACTCGCTCCCTGCCAGGCTTGCAACATGAAAGACCAGTACCTCAAAGCACCTGTAGTACACGCTTCATCTCATCACTAGAAAGCTTTCCAGCATATTCGCGAGCACTGCCAAACTGTCCCTTCATATCTGGATCTGCGCCTTGACTCAATAGCCATTTTACCCTTTCAATAGCCCCCGCCATGACAGCATTGACAATTGGATACTGCGCCGTCACATGGCGCGACATCAGCTTGTCATTCACCTGCGCACCGTTTTTCACCAGCAATTCCATGACAGAAATCCTCGCCTCATCGAATTCTTTGCTTGGTGTTACAACTCCGGCGTGAGGATTTGATCCCGGCGGATAGGCGCCCGCTGCATAATACAATGGTGCTCCGTTGTCAATTTTAGCACCAGCGTTGAGGAGCTTCTGCACCATTTCAGCGGTGCTTATCTCTGCTGCAATCTCGAGTGCCTCGCAGGAGTTCGTTTCAGGTCCGCCGAAACGGTCTCGATTGTCCTGTTGTTTGCCAAGATTCGGATCTGCGCCATTCTCAAGGAACCAATCAAGAAGATCATCGTTGCCCGCGCGGATAACAGATGGTAGTAGGACAGCTCCGTAGAAACCAGGCGTGTTTACAGTCCAGCCGTGCTGCAGAAGCAGTTCGAATAAGGGCTTTTGTTGGTCTATTGGAGCGGCCAAAGCCCATGATGGAGTTATTCTGGTGATTGGGGCTCCAGAGTCAAGTAAATAGCGCGTAACATCAATCTTACCGCTACCCAAAGCGTTGAAAAGACCTTCATGAAGGAAGGCTGGCGTACGAGATTGAGAGGTAACGATGGACTCGACAGTAGACGTATCACCGTCTCGACAGGCATTGCCGAATTGGACAAAATCGGGCTGTGAGGCAGCAAAGCCGTTGAAAAGCATGAGATCGCTAGGCTCAGTGATGGGAATATCATCGTAGGAGGCACCCATGCGATCGCCCGCGCGTCGCTGTTCTGGTGTCATTCGCTGTAGCTCGTCGAATTGACGCTTGGCCTGGGCGAGGACAATTTGTACTACTGTAGGCAGCATGTTTTGCTGCTGCTGTCGCATCGTCGCCTGTCGGCCCCTCCATGCGAGGGCTTCTTGAGTTTGCCCCGACGACATTGTTTTCGTGCATTTATTCTTGGTCAGTGAACTTCAGTGATGGCATGTAAAACATTAGGTTGTGTAAGGCTGAGGATTCACTGGTTTTGTGCTGATCTTAGCTGACGTAATGCTCTAGTTACTTGAAACATTGATCCTTATTCATTACTACTAAGCACACAATGAGGGGGAAGGATTCTCGAGTCCTTTCCTCGGGTGGTCGAAAAGCCTTAGAAATGTCCTAACTTCTATTTAATTTTCGCTCGTACACCGTATATTATATAACTCATTATCTAGTAATGTCGCTTGCCAAATATGTGTGCCCCTGAACATTGAGCCGAGAATACAGTGACGACCTAGATCTGTGACAGCACTCGGGAAATTCTATCAAAAAGAATAAACCGTGAAATCATAATAACCCTCAGAATTGCACAATGAACGAGGCTAGTCCGGCCATAAATAAGGCACCCAACATACGGACAGCACTTGATTCAGCCCCATTAGTTTCCTTCGGTGCCGCAGCATCAGTTGAAGCGCTAGTAGCCGTGACCTCTGCACTTGTAGCCTCAGTCTCACTTTCAGTGGCTTGAGCAGCACTGGAATCCTCTGTTGTCGTGGCCTGAGATGCTCTTTCAAGCAGTTCCTGGCCCTTGGTGATGACAATTGGCAGCGTACCAAACTTGAGCTCAAACTCTTTCGTGATGCTCCCAAGACCAGTCGCAACATCTGTAATACCGCCTTCCCCGGTTTCCTTCGGCAGCGCCATGGTCGTACAAATCTGAGGCGTCCCACTGCTCACAAGGCACTCAACAGAGCTGGCGCCGCCCAGATCATTCATAGCCAACATCCAATGGAAGACGCCTGTTGATGCCGCGCCAGCTGGGACAGTCTTACTTGCCCATGGTCCGATTACAATGGAGTTATTGTACCCAGATGATTCACATGCTGCGGAGACTTCGTCGGGACAGTATAGTTGTATTGTTGTTGCTGTTGGATTGGCGGCGATGACTGCGGCTGAGGGCGTTTGTTCTTTGTAGAGAGCAAAGGGAAGTATGAAAACTGTTGTGGTTAGTGCCGAAGACATTTTAGTTATAACGAATGACGATGGTGAGATGTTGGCGATGAAGAGTCTTGAGTGGGATGGTCAGGCTTTAAGTGAAACAACGGGGCGCATGGATCTCGGCGAATTCTGAAAATGGAATGTCAACTGATGATTCTGGTTGGTCAACTCATAGTCTGATGAATAGGGGCCTGCTAGGGCTGAGCTTGGCTGGTAATTTCGGGTTCATGGCTAAAGCCGGCTAATCTGATGGCTCGCAATCAAGTGGAATTCAGTTCTGACACATACTCTCAATGTGATTACCTTGCAACATACTAGTCTCCTACTGTGATCCAAGATGACATCTGACTAGTTCATGATAAGAGAAGCAATCAAAGCCATGGCCACAACGCCCGCAACACAGACAGCATTCGATCCAGCCCCATTCGTTTCCTCCGGTGACGATGTATCAGTGGAAGTTGCTGTAGCTTCCCCCAGTAGCTCCTGGCCAGCAGTGATAACAATTGACATGTACGTAAATTGGGCTGCTAACGTCTCGTCTGGATACATATTCGCCGCGGTTTCAGTAACTGGGCCTCCATAAATATCTTCATCCATCCAAGTCCTGGTTTGCATCGCTGTGACCAAGCTCGTGCATGTCTGAGGCATGCCGCTACTCATAAGACACTCCACAGACAGAGCTGTCCCCCAGTAGCTATTAGCAAGATAAAAATGAAATGTGCCTGTCGATGCTGAGCCTTCTGGAACGACAGTACTAGCCCATGGTCCGACAACAAAGGTGTTGCTGTATTCAAATGGACAATCGGATTGGACGGGACATCCCAATTCGATGGTCGTCGCTGTAGGATTAACGCTTATAACCGAACCCGTTGGAGTGTGTATCATGTACTCTTCGGCGTCGTAAATGAACAAGGTCGGGGTGACTGGTGGGAAGGTTTCAGTCGCGGCTTTCCGTCGTGAAGCAGAGACCTCGCTGGCGTCCTCTGTAGGTGTAGCTTGAACATCAGTTCCCAGCTGCTCCAGGCCCGAGGTGAGGACGATCGGCAACTGAACGGTATCCAGCATGTCCTCCGTCTCAGTCACAGTCCAGCTATGGCTCGTCCACTCCCTCTCTGTATGCGATCTGGCATAACCTCGCGAAACTTGAAGGCCAGTACAAGTCTTACGTATGCCAGAGCTCATAAGACACTCATACGACAATTCCTCACTGTCCCACTCCCAATGCCACCGAAACGTTCCAGTGGAAGGTAGTCCTTCTGGAACTACTGTACTGGCCCATGGCCCGACCACGAAGGTATTGTTATAGTTCTGGCCACAGTCGATCTTCCCATGGATTCTTGGGCAGCCCAGCCCGATTGTTGTTGCAATGGGATTCGCGTCTATTACTGAACCGGTTGGTCTCACCATAGTGTAAATGGCCGCGGAAATGATATTGACGGTTGTCGTAAGTGCGGACGACATTTTAAAAGAGATGCTGATGAAGCAGAAGTAACCTTAGACACGACTGAGCTGGTACTGGGCAGTAGAAATATTCAGCTAAACCTCTAACTTTTATAGAAACAGAAAAACATGAAGCGGTCGGTGATCTCCAAGAATGGAAGCTCGAATATCATAATTTCCATTGGTTCATCCATCACCAAGCAGAAAAAGCCACTGCCAAGATTGTGATGTATTGATGGTTAAAGCCGGATAAATCGTCCCAATAGAGACAAGTTAGGTCTCTTTCGACACGTTGGCTCCCTCCCGATATATGGGATTCACACGTCAGTAAAACTGAGAAATTCTGAAAATTAAAGGCCTCTGTACAATAAGTTCATTTGTGGAAGGCAATGCGTCAACTCCTCTGTTGTACATTTGGTGCTCTTGATCAACAACTGAACCAAACTTCGCGACAGCTCTATAGGAACATCTAGCACTCATCAATTACAAAAGTTCTACTCCCTTATCGTATCTTTCACAAGCGACAGAAACTTTCTTCACAGTATATTCGGATGGAGAGTCCATTTTCCAATAACTAGGAATCGTTATGCATGCTATCGATAATTTGTGTTTCTATATCGGCTCGGCAACAGCGCACTGTAATTTTAAGCTATATAGTACCGTTTCCTCTCCTGTAAGCTCCCACTTGTGCGAATAAACTATTCAATGGACTAATATTGAAAGATTCTCCTCAGCGAGTAGGATTCATACCGCTTTCGAACAGCCGAGATCTCCAAGTTCTGATACTGGGATAAGGCTTCAAGGTCTCAACCATAAGTCTCAACTGTAAACAATGAATCTTACTTATATCTGAGACATTTTATCAGAATGCCTGATAAATTCCTATGGAATATATCTGATATCATGAAAGCCTACCAGATGACTGAGCTAGTAGCTCAAATTGAAATTCAGTCAGGTATCAGATCGTTTAAACCTGAACTTACAGCTATCTAATATGGGAAACGAGATTACCCACGTCTAGTCTTCCAATTGCCGAGACGCCATGAGAAGGAAGCATACTTTCTTCGTAGTAATTCGATTGGAATTGCTCCCGTACTGAGCTAATCGGCACCCGCGTTATACTCGAATCGTCAAGCTGTCTCTCTGGGGCTAACATAACGAATTCTCAGCAGCGACAACGATCGAGCCACAAAAAAGGAATGTCATTCAAATGGCGTTTTTATAATCAATGCCATATTTGAAATTAAGTCATTTCATGTCGATATACTCAAGAACAGCCGATCTCAAACTTGACTGCAACATCGCGCACAGTTAAGATAAGCCCGCAGTGGTTCTTATCATCCAATCAGCGGCTTTGTTCTTATCGCGAACATTCAACCATTAAATACACTGTTACCCCAGACTTTGAGCCTCCAAACAAATTGCCCGCTTCAATCGACAGATACCAATACTCATGTAATCGCAGAAGCACATGACAGGGAAACGATCACGAAAAGGCTGTGGTGAGTGTAGAAAACGAAGGCGTAAGTGCGACGAAGTGAAGCCGAGCTGCGGACAATGCGTCTCGAATCATCGGAGTTGCAAATATGAGTTGAGGCTTGTTTGGAGTCAGGCTGTAAATAACAGACGAAATGGTATGCGTATCCCAGAAATGAGTGAAACATTACTTACTGATCTCATTGAGTAGGCTCAAATAGTTCAATAAGTTTCAGCGGCAACCTGGACCTCGGCACAGAACAGGACATCTCCGTATCATCAATACCAGAGTCCCTGCCAAATGGCCTGGCACTCCCAAGGCGATACAAAAAGCTGCTACATCACTTTGCTGAGGGTGTTCTGGCATCGTTGTCGAGTCACCCAACCATTCACGATGACTTTCGTCGTGGCCTTATGCCCACCATGCTCGAATCTCCTCATCTCCTCTCTGCCAGCCTGGCACTATCGACCGCAAGTTTTGAGTCAAGAGGCTTGAAAGAAGTCGAAGGAACCAGCACGTCTCGGATCATGGAACATCTGCAGTCATCTGGCCTGCCACTGCTGAGATCAGCGTTGGCACAAGGGCAGCAGAGCGAGATTCTTATTGCGACATGTCTGATCTGGTGCCTGGCAGATGTATTTTCGGGACAGCAGGGGATGTTTAGGTGGCCGATTCATCTGCAGGGTATAAAAGCTCTTCTTCACGGCCGTCATGATTACCAGAGATTCGTGACTGGTGACAACGCCTTGAGATCTGCGATGAAGCATCTCTTTATGCTGTATCGGAGTCTGGAGACTCTACCACACGTACCCAAAATAACATCAGAGAAGGCCAACTTGATCGTTCCCGCGAATACAGCATACAATCATCAGATTGATGGTTTTCTAGGATATAGCGAAGAACTCCTCGACATATTACAACAAATCAACGCATCTACACCAGGAGTAGGGCCAGACGATTCTTCAATTGATGCAGATACCTTACTCGGCAAGCTGAACGCTATGATCAGAAGAGATGTCAAGTCGCCACCCGGCGTCTCGATATCATCCCTTTCATCACAATCAGGTCGCGAGTTTGCACTCTGCAATAAAGTCTTCCAGCAAGCCACTCTAATCCAACTCTACCGACAATTATACGGGCTGCCATCGTCATCACAACCTATACAGGATGCTGTTCATACCATGAGCGGAATGATCAGTAACATGGCACAAGGCGAACCATGCAATACTTGGGTCGCAATGGCCATGCCGTTATTCACTGTTGGTTGTGAGGCTTACAAGGAGGAACAGAAGGCTTTCATCCTTGATAAGATTCACAAACTTGAGATTTGCATCGGTTCATTGCATGTCAAGGTAATTGAACAAGCGCTCAAAGATATTTGGAAGATCAGAGAGGATTTCAACGATTTTGAAGGATACCTGTGTGCCAGTCATTTACTAGGTAAGTTTCCACTGGATCGTTCATCAAGACTATGGCTAATCCAACACGAATAATTAGAAAAGTTGTCATACAACATTGTTTTGTTTTGAAAAGCTCTAACTATGAATCAAAAGCCAAGATTCAAATACATCAGGTATCCATACTATCCTATATGTTATCCACATGTCTTGGATGTCTTAACCCCATATTGAAGCATTCTCCACGATCTCGCAGCGTGTTCAATCATGGATTTCTTACAGCTCTTCTTCTTTCTTACCCTCAACCATTCGGCTGAGAGGACCCTTCTTGACCATGATAGACATGACCTCGTAGAGAACATCAGCGGCCGCCATCGTAGTGTGCTCGGCGTTAGTGTCGTAAGCAGGCTATATCTCTTATTTAGTCTTCATCATCTCTCTCGGGACCGCTGGAGTAGAACTTACAGCAACCTCAACAATGTCTGCGGCAATGAGGTTCAAGCTTTCAAGACCTCGAATAATAGTTCGAAGCTCTCGGGTGGACCAGCCTCCAGTCTCAGGAGTGCCTGTAGCAGGGGCAAAAGCTGGGTCAAGAGTATCGATGTCGATAGACAGGTAAACGGGGTGATCAGTGCCGACACGCTTGAGGATCTTCTCAATGATACCGTCAGTGCCAATGGTGTCGATCTCTCGAGCCTCCACAATCTCGAAGCCACAGTATCCATCGTTATCGTAGTCGCTAGGGCCACTTAGAGTAGTTCTGATACCAGCATGGATGTTGGTATCATTGCGGAGAAGGCCTTCCATAGCAGCGTGGTAGAAGTATGTGCCGTGGTTGATGGCAGCGACCTCTGATGGGGAGCCACCAAAGACCTTGGGCTTCCCTATCGCTCAGTTAGCATGGATAAAAAGGAAATGGCCTCAGTAGGTTAGCTGTTGCATACAAGTGTCGAGATGACTGTCGAAGTGAATGACAGTCACGGGTCCGTAGGCACGGTTGATGGAGCGAAGGAGAGGGAGAGTGATAGTATGGTCGCCACCAAGGGTGATGACTCTAGGAAGAGTTCGGCTCTTGAGGGCTAGACCAGACTTGTCTGCATCTGTGGCTGGTGGGCGAGAGAGGATGTTGTAGTGGCCTTCCTCGATCTGTCGAAGTGCCCACTGGTTATCGTACCTTCAGGTTATTAGCACAGCGATACATGAGCTTAGAGACTACTTACGAGGTAACTGGGATGTCACCACAGTCAAGCACTGTTGCCCAGCTGTTGAAAGGGTTAGTAGCCAGAGGTACATTGTAACCCCCACTACAGAATAGTTAGTCTTAACGTTGGAAAGGCAATTCGAAGGCTGGCTTACTAAAGGTTGAGTCTTCGAGAGCCTTGTCGGATACCAGAAGGTCCAAAGCGAGCACCAGGTCTATAAGAAGTGCCTGTATCAAAGGGAGCACCGATGAAAGCAATGTCATACTTGATGCTGTTTGCCTTTAAGCATGGCTGGTATGGAAGGCGGCCGAAGGTGCTGATACCGGAGAAGACAGAATCGGCCTAGACTTGGTCAGCCTGATTTGTCGCAATGGAGTCAGTATACTTACCTGAGTACCACCGTCGCCGGGAAGGGTGTTGTACCAGAGGCCTTGGTGAGGACCTGACATGGGCTCTTGGTCATGGCTATGGTCACCATGGGCCAGAGCCACGGAAGCAAGGCTTAGAGAGACGAGGGACTTGTAGAACATTGTGAGAGAGATTTTGAGGAGCAATGTTAAGAGTACTGTATGGTGTGAATGGTAGAGTCATAGCAAGTATTTATGCCATGTCATAGCTCGGCTTCCGGAGACACTCAGATCAGGATCACAGTTACATTCATGCTAACCACTGGCCCATCATTGCACCAACGTAATTCCATCTCCCAACTAATCTCTCTTTCTCCAAAGTGATATCATCACAAACACTTCCTGCAGAAACCATCATCACTTACAACCTCAAAATCAACGGGCGTCCAAGAAGCGCGTAGATATCTCAAATAGGCTAGTCTGGGGTAGATACCTCGATACAGCTAGAATCAGATCGGCACCCCGCAACCTCCGCATTCTTATCGCGGCTAAGTTGCCGAATCGAGTAAACCTATGATATGTGCTGATAAGCTTCTTGTGCGACGATGAATTCTCGTTGATATTGTTCGAGGCCTATTGTGTTACGTTTGGCGGAAGTTGATCATCGTGAGGTTGCAAATCCCGCAGACTAACGAAAAATGGCGCGTTGCAGCTGAATATGCCGACATCCCACCATGACTGCATGCTTATCAGCAGTTCTGTGTTGGCAAAAGTTTTTACCAAACTGTAATAGTGCCTCTTACCAGCTTCGAATTGCGAAGAATGGTGGTCGGATTCAAGTAATTGGAAGATCCTGTTGGAATTCCCTGAGTTTTGCTAGCTTTGCTGAAATCTTGAAGCCTTCTCTTTCATCACCATCACCATCTCCAAGGTAGCCGCTGAAACCGAAACAGCAAGCAAATGGCTCCCCAACCTCAAACTCGTCGCCCTCACTTTGAGTCCTTCCCAGACGAAGAAACACCTCTGATTCAACCCACCCAAGACTCTTCAATCGAACCCAAGAGTCGCTCACCATGGTTGGACGAAACCGTCATTCTCATCAAAGCCTCTGTACCAGTCATACTGGCCTACATGCTCCAGAACAGTCTTCAAACAGTCTCTATCCTCATGGTTGGCCGCCTTTCTCCCGAATCCCTTGCGACCGCTGCGTTCTCCTACATGTTCGCCATGGCAACAGCTTGGCTCATTGCTCTCGGCGGCACAACTGCCCTCGATACGCTCGGCTCTAGTACCTATACAAGCTCGAAGAATAAACACGACCTGGGAATATTGTTGCAGAGAGGCTTGTTTGTCTTGACTGGGTTCTATGCTTTGGTTGCTATTATCTGGTGCTTCTCTGGGTATATCTTCCGGGCTCTTGGCCAAGAAGACTTTATCTGTGTTCAGGGACCCAAGTTTTTGCAATTGTTGATCCCTGGTGGCCTTGGTTACGTATGGTTTGAGGCCATGAAGAAGTTTCTTCAAGCACAAGGCATCTATCGCCCTGGCACCTATGCACTACTCGTCACTTCTCCTCTCAACGCTTTGCTAAACTACATCTTCATATACCCTCTCGGCTTCGGTCTTTACGGATCACCTATCGCCACTGGTATCTCGTACTGGCTCTCCTTCTTCATCTTAGTTGGCTATGCCACCTTCGTTAAGGGAAGCGAATGCTGGGGCGGACTTGAGCCGCGTCGAGCTCTTCAACATTTGGGCCCTTTTGCAAAGCTTGCCTTTCTCGGTGTTATTCACGTTGGTACAGAGTGGTGGGCTTTTGAGATTGTTGCTCTTGCAGCAGGCCGTCTCGGAACGATCCCACTAGCTGCTCAGTCTGTGGTCATGACTTTGGACCAAATCATCAACACTATTCCCTTTGGTCTTGGGGTGGCTGCATCTTCTAGATTGGGCAATCTCCTGGGTTTGGGGGACCCTCTACAAGCAAGACGCTGTGCACATGCCGCAGCTCTCCTATCTGTATTCTTCGGAACCGTCATCCTCGCGATCCTCATGTCTACAAAGAATGTCATCGGTCGCTTATTCAACGACGACGAGGATGTCATTTCACTTGTCGCCCACATCATGCCTTACGTAGCACTCTTCCAGATCGCAGATGGTCTCAATGGAAGCTGTGGAGGAGCGCTGCGAGGCATGGGGCGACAATGGGTTGGAGCACTTGTCAACTGTGTCAGCTACTACGGAGGGGCACTACCAGCGGGCATTTGGCTTGCTTTTCATGGATGGGGTCTTTCTGGACTTTGGGTTGGACAATGTGTCGCACTGTTTCTGGTTGGTATTCTAGAGTGGATTATCATTGCTTTGTGTGACTGGCGAAAAGAGATTCAGAGGGCTGCAGATAGAATTGAGAATGGTGGTATGGAGATTGTACACTGAGACTGCCAGGTAGAAAATATTAGATCAATCAACCTTAGTTTTGAATCACAAAAGCCTTTTCACCGACACTTTCAAAGTTCTATTCATTCCGTTATTCACGTCTCGAATTCCTGGCATGCGAGCGCGGCACACATTCTCCATTGAACCTAAGTTCTCCGCATGAATAATGTCGTAAGATTCTGGACCGATGTAACGGTTCTGCGCCGAGATAAGACGGAAATCTGGAACCCCTAATTGATAAGGCGAGCTGGGGTAATAATTAGTCTTGCATTCTAGCATTAAACCTCTGCTCTGATAAGAAAAACGTGGTATCGGCATCCGTCTGCCGCATGATAAACATGGTGCTAGCCAAAATAGGGTCGCACACGCACTGAAGCCTATCTCCGTGTTACTTATCTTTGCCTCATATGGCCATGCATATATAGATATAAGTGTATGCGTCTCAATTGAAAATGGTAGTTTACTGCAGGAATTGTAGCATGTGATTGTGTGCAATTGAGTCTACGCATACCTTCTTGTACCATCTTTGATCATAGTATTGAACCGGTCGGCTAAGTGATCATTGCTCAAATCCGACAATGGAGGCTGAGAAGATCAACGGTGGTATCCTTGAGAAAGGAGACACCACTGAAGGAGAAACAACCGAGCTAGGCTCTGTTATCAATGCCTCCGGCCATACAGATCAGCTTACTCGCCAGTATGGTCTCGTCGGGCTCACAGGCATTGCAGTGACAGTCAACAATGCCTGGGTTGTCCTTGGTTCCTCGATCTCTGTCTCTATTCTCAGTGGTGGCATTTCAGGTGTCATATATGGTCTCATAGTAGCAGTGATCTACTACACTTTCATCGGCTTGAGTATATCAGAGGTATGCATAACCTAACCCGAACCCAACTTGGCCCATCTGACATCTTCAAAAGTTTGCTTCATCATGCCCCAGCTCAGGCGGTGTCTACCATTGGGCGACCATAGCTGCCGGGCCCAAATGGGGTCGTGTCACAGGCTTCTATACTGGATGGATCAACTTCTATGGCTGGATGTTCGGTCTCGCATCTCTTGTCCAAGTCGCCGCCAACGCAGGCGTTCAATGCTATGCCACTCTCACACCCGGCTTTTCTCCCTCGGCATGGCATGTCTATGTCGCGTACCTGATCGTCATCTGGCTCAGTACCTTCGTCGTCATTTTCTCGAACCGACTTGTTCCCTACACCCAGAAACTTGGCCTGTTCCTCGTTGTTGCAGGCGGTCTTGTGACCATTATTATTGTCGCTGTCATGCCTTCAAAGCATGCTTCTAGTGATTTTGTATGGAACTCATTTCATGAGAACAACCTGACTGGGTGGAATGACGGCGTTGCGTTCATGGTTGGCATTCTTAATGGAGCTTTCACGATTGGAACTCTCGATGCTATCACTCATATGGCTGAAGAGGCCAAGAACCCAAAGAAAGACCTGCCTAGAGCCATCTTTTTATACATATCCATTGGCGGTGTCTATGCTTTAGCTTTCGCTATGGTCTTGGGATACGCCATTTCTGATTTATCTGTTCTCCAAGGCAACTCCAACACATTTCCGTTGGCTGGTATCTACCATCAAGCGACTGGGAGTGCTGCAGCCACATTCGCATTGCTGTTCATTATTCTCATCTCGTCTCTTTGCTGCGTCATGGGAACTGTGCTGACCAACTGCCGTACATACTGGTCCTTGGCTCGAGACCAAGCTGTGCCGTTCTCAAATTATTTCAGCAGAGTGAGTGCGAAGCTTGGCACCCCAGTTGAGTCAACGCTGTTCGTGGCAGTCATTGCGTCGGGTATCGGTGCAATTCCGCTGGGAAGTTCGGTTGGTTTCAGTAACTTGACCGGATCGTTCATCATCATCACAACTGTGTCTTACGCTATCCCTATTGTGTCGAATGTCCTGAGCGGCCGCAAACGATTCTCACCTGGTCCCTTCCACCTGAAGAACCTTGGGTACTGGATCAATGGACTTACTATACTACTGATTGTGGTATTTGACGTGTTCTTTTGTTTCCGTAAGTATTCCTTAACCCGTGTGTTCTCTAAAATTTCACTGACCACTGGTAGCCTTCGGTATGCCATTTGATGCAACAACGATGAACTACAATTCCGTCATTCTGTGCGGTCTATGTTTCTTGATTACGGTTTGGTGGTTCCTGTCAGCCTCGAAGCATTATCCAGGGCCTACGTTTCATCAGGTGTATGACGGGGATGAAAACAAAGAGGCGGCATCATAGGAACGCGCAGATTATACTTCAGTTCTCCTGTAATACATATGTAAGCTGTCAATATAATTACTGATTCCTTCTTCCTATTTCCGGACTCTATGTCCACCGAGTTTCGTCCCAGTCGGAAGGACTTCGCTGCCACGCAAGCCCCCTTGGCCCTTCACCTCCTCCCAAGGGTTCCAGCCACTTGTCAATGGCCTCGGATGCTGTCTCCATATCGGAAGAACCAGGCCATCCATGGTCTCGATAGATCTGCCTCGCGTACTGGACATCCAGATCAGTTTCCCATTCCTCTGTCTGTTCAGTTACCTCTTCCTTTGTGATTCTTCCGCCATGCTCTGGCACCTTTTCTGCCTCGATTGTAATCCGGCACCTTCCGATGATGAGTTTCAAAGTCTCGTATTGTTCCTTGAGACGGTCGAAGAATTGCTCAACTGGAACGGCGTCAAGCATATCGCCACCTGGAAGTCCCCACAGATCTCGCAGTCCCTCACGTTAAGCCATAACTCGCGACTGAAACTCTCGTGGCCGACGGCAATACAAACAACATCGCTGGGGTCCATCTTCCCTCCCTCCGATGACCAAAATTCCCAGTCTTGATGGTAGTTCTTGTGCTTCTCAATCGTCAAGAGTGAAGACAGTGAGATCAAAAAGCTTAGACTTGTAGTGGACATATTCGATATACGTGCTGTCAAAGTAGGGAAGGTGGCGGATGGCTTGGATAGCATAGTCAGATTTGAAGTGTGCACACGACTCTGGAGTGAGTTCTGGCCATCCTGTCGGTGGAGGGATCTTGAGATAAGACTTGTCGTAATGCAAAGTTGTGAGGAACGTGCAAAAGCCAATAAACAAAGCCCTGAGTTCATCGGGTGTCAGTCGTGGCTTTTGTGGTTCATCAGAGACATCTGAGCCCTCATAGGAGTCGTCATCTGACGCAGGAGGCGTTTGAAGTGATTATTGTTGATAGAATGACAACTGAAGGGACGAAGTGCTTTATAGGAGAACTCAGGTCCAACTCGGCACGAGTGATGCTTTCGGGGATTTCTGCAATCATAATGGCTACTCCACAGTAATAGGCAAAACCTCAAGCGACAGCCAACAATATCCTCACAATGGCGCCATTCTCCACAGTGTTGGTAACCCCATGTTCATAGACAAAGTATCATTGAAGTTGGTCCCCAAATTATCTGATGGGGAAGGACCTCAAAGTTCGAAACTCCAACGGAGAGACTGATGACTTTAGATTGCATCTTCTTGTAATTAACCGCAGCTATAACCTTGACACTATTGTGCAAGAGCTGAAGGTTTGCGGTAGCGATACATGCGTAGTGAAACTTCCACTTATTTGGCTATTGGTCAAGAGTCCAGGATACTGGGAATTACAAAGACAACATTCTCGATCACTGTAGCGATTAATGTCGCGCGACAGCCTCCTTCTCCGATACCATTTGGTGCTCATGATGGCAGTTGTTTTCAACCCATGGACCAGTCACAGTCCAGCACGTGTGTCATCATGCATAAGGCGGTGTCGTTGAGGCTCAGCGCCCAGCACCTGTCAGATGAGGCAGACTCAGCTTTACTACCTACCCCGGGAATTTCTCCATCTCACCCGTAACTGCAAATCCTTTCATCTTTATCAGAATGGCAGAAATTCTCGGCCTGGCTTCCAGTATCATCACGATAGTGGAGGTGGCTGGAAAACTCGGCACCAACGCCATTCGACTCAAGCGATTATGGGACGAAGTACAGGATGTCCCATCTAGCATTCAGAGATGCATCGAGCAATTGGAGATCTTGGCCCCCGCCATCGAAGACATGGACCACGAGTTTGAAAAGACTCGCAATATGATACAGAACGACTCCGCTGCCAAGCGAAGCCTTGAATATTCACGGAAAGCGGCACAGACTCTCGACACTTTGGTCAGAGACATGGAGACACAGATCAGCGCGACAAAGACCAGTAGGAGACTGATAACCCAACTCAAAGTCAGGATCAAAAGAGACGTGATTGAAGATCACCAGCTTCGACTCACATCAGCACTTCAACTGCTGTCTCTTTCCCAACAAACCTATTTGATGTAAGTCATGACTCATTCGCTATGTTGCTAGACGTGAGAGCATATTGACATTCACAGTGCTTTATCGCGCGCCCAACCGGAGATCATTATTTCTGAGATAAGAAGGTGGCGGGACTCAAAGCATCAGAAACAAGTTTCAGTAGGCACAGAAGAACATGGCCAGTCTGTACAAAGTGACGAACCTCGAGAGACACAGACCGGTGAGTCCCAAGACTGTTTCAAGTCTTATGGATCTCCCAACTTCAGTCTTTGGTCCGCTAGGAAGCCACTGCCGCGAAGGCGACCCGGTCCACTCGGGAGCTTCGCCTTCCAGTCTTATGACATTGTCGAAAGCCCTTCAATCCATTACGTGCCAGACAAGGCACGATGTTAGTCCAGCTGCTCCGCGCAAATTCCGCAAAATTGGCTAATTATACTTCTAGTCTTTCAAGCAAGGTTTCAGATGTCTTGGTTTATACAGAGATCCTGGGACTTGTCAGTAATTCGGGCATCGACCGGGTGGGCTTTCCAATTGAGCACTAGGAACATTCGGCCCTGGAATGCTAGAATATTCAAGGCTGTCCTAAAAGGGGAATTTGAACATATTATCGAACTTCTCAAGAACAAAGAGGCATCAATCTATGACGTGGGCCCCTATGGAGAGTCGTTGCTCGACGTGAGTTGTCATGTCTTTCAAACAAACACAGCCTAACCTTTTAGATTGCCACTGCTGGCGGAGAGACCGAATCCATCAATGTCCTTATCCTCATGGGGATGAGGATTTCAGAAATTGAACCGTCGTTTTTATATGGGCATCTATACTCGTCGTTCTATGATGATCCTTCAGTAGAGAGCCCAATGGAGCTTGCTCGTCAATGGGTAACAGAGATAGGGGGTATATCATGTGATCATCTGGCTAGATGTTCCTTTAGGGATGCCTTCTGGAGAGTTCCAAGTGTATACACTCTTTTATCGGAGACAGCGCTGGTTCGTCAAGTGTTGCCCTCATTTGACTGGGTTGATGTCAACCCAGCGGTCCTTTTACAGTTGATAAAAAGCGGCCTCGCTTTGACTTCAGACTTCCCTCCGTATGTTTGCTCATCAACTCCGGGTGGTATTTGCGGCTGCTATACTTCGAGTTTCACACTTCAGTATTTCCATGCACTCTTAAACAACGATGAGAGCTTCTATGACTGGAGATGTTTAGCGAGAAAAGTGTTCCTAGGAGTTTCGCCCTTGACTATTGTTCATCCCCACGGTGGGACTTTCTGGAATCTTAGCAGTATCCTTGAAGCACTATCACAGCGGCAATTCCGGCTCGTCCCTTTTGCAAGATGGATACAAAGCGCTGTTATTCTATGGTTAGAAGATCTTGCAGCGGCTGGCATCAACCTCGAAGAGTATATGAGTTTAGAATTACTATACAGTGGAGAGTTTCATCAGAATAGCGTTTCTAAGGATACGAAGATGGAGATTCGGCCAGGGGCGCGTTTACCAGAGTCTGGGCCTTCACTGGTAGTTCTCTCAGTTGGGCCACGTGCTAATGACTGGTCGTTTTCTTGGGACCCCTGTGTGGAGGAGCTGTCTGGCGAGTTCTGGACAACACTTGAAGAGACTCGGGTAAAAGTGCCCGGAGCTTGGGTGCATGAGAGAACTGAAGATTCCCAGTGCCTTATGGGAAATCTCGTTACATGTTGGTTTCGATGGGACGACAGCGTTACACGTTATTTTCTCTGGGGCGACATCTGCTTCCAGAGCAGAATCACGCGTAGTAAGACGACTAAAAAGGGTTTGAAAGGAGAATCGTGGCCAAGGAGGAAATATCGTGAGGGGTTGCAAATACGAGGGATGACGATGTGCAAAGACCTTCCGTTGTACACATCATGGCATTGGTATTACTTTTTGTTCATGTGCCACATTCCAGAGCGCTATTATTAAGGCGTGGACAAATACAGACAGTTGGATTTTGAAATGACAAAGCTGACACTGATCTATGGTAAATACCTAGGCGGTCGAACGTCTGTAATTCCTACGATACTTCTAAGCAAAGGTATGCACTTATACAAATTTCGCATTCACCGTTGTATCTATCTTGTCTTGCGACTCCTCGAATTGTAAAATACAGTAGTAAATTCTTTCTACCGCCCCTGGTGTAATGTATTCACGGACGTCCGTTAAGAGATTAATCGGCTTTCTAGGCACGGTTACCACTCTAGGCTTGAGAATGCCCCCATTAACTTTCAAGGCCATAGGTCGAAGGGAAGACACTAAGCTTGAATGTAGGATATTAGAATAGTCCCAATAAACGATGCTTCAAAGCTGAGGTTAACTTTCATAGATATTTTTATCGTTTGGGATCAAGATTCCCAGAAACAGGTTAGAGAAACGACTTGGTGCCTGGCAGCGCTATCACTAGTGAGTACATGGGCGTAACCGCTTGACTATTCCTGGTGTTCAAAATCAATAGTTTGTCAACACTACACTAAAATGAGTTAAGCTAAGCTTCAGGATGCAAATTGCAATTTCCCATCTTGCGCCTCTTATTTACTGGGCTACTGGGGAACTCGCAAAAGAAAACTTGACTCTCTTTCTTGTCAATAGTTCATTCTCTGTGGCTTTTTTGTGTCTCAAAATGATCCCACTTCGAACAATCGCATTGTCATGTTTGGCCCTTGCCCCTGTGGCTGTCTCGGCTGGTGCATGCAAGCCTAGATCCACTGACCTAACAACGGCCGCCTCGTCCACTCTGGAGACCGCGTCTTCCACCGAAACCCTGCAGTCAACCGCAACCGATCTGTCAACGACCATCGCTTCGACAATTGAGATGACAACAGAGGCATCTACCATCGAGACCACCTCTGAAGCCGCCACCACTACTTCCAGCGCCCCATGCCCAAGCTACACCCAAATCATCCCGCCTCCCAGCGGTAAAGTCTGCGGCAAAGCAGTTACCAGAGGAACCTTTCAATCCTCGCCCCTCTACCTCGGGTCTCAACTGTCAACAACTGGTCTTACCGGATGCGCCAAGTACTGTGGCGATACCCCGGGCTGTGTTTCTTTCTATGCCGAAGATTATGTTCCCGGGGTAGGTGCGCCGACATACAACATCTGCTTCAAGTTTAAGGGATATGAGAAGGATATTCCTTTCGGCGAGGGCCAGAATGGAGGGTCGGCGTACTATGAACAGGGCTGCTTTGCTTGTGTTCGTGACGAGGCGCCTCAGCCGCCTATCCCAAGTTAAGAAATGAGGCTAAAGCTTTAGAAATACTTGACCCAAGACCTATAATGTAATGAAATGAGGTTAATAGCAATATTTCCCATCTCAGTTTAATGTATGAATCAGTTATTCACACTTTCTCCAAGTGCGTCACAAGAAAGTTGAGAATATCGTCAACTTCTTCTGGTGCTTTGAACCAATGTCCCTCTAGTTCTGCTCCCTGATATTCCCTCCACTCAACCGTAAACCCAGCCCGGAGAATGATCTCTCGAGCCTTTCTTCCCAATTCGACATCGACATACGCATCGTCGGTTCCGTGGCCAAGAAAGATAGTCGTTGATGGGAGCCTTTCTCGAGATTGAGGAAGTGGGACCTTCGACTGAGCTAGCATCCCAGTGACAAACTCAGTTCCTGCATCCACCGGTGACGTTGGTTCATTTGATAGATATTTCTCGATGCTGGAAGCAAAGGGAAGCCAAGTATTCGTAGCAAAGAATGCGCCAAGTGGTCTCTCAATAGAATCCCGACAAAGCAATGTCCAAATGCCCACTGCTGCACCCTGACTGATCCCACCTAGAACAACCTTTAATGTATCCCCGTTGAGTCTCTCAGTCTCCTGTTCTAGAATCTTCTTGATGTAGCTGACTGATTCCATGATGCCTGGAATCTGAAGGTCTTGTCGAGCCGTGATGTCCGTCAAAGAATGCGCCTCAAACCACGCAGGCATGCTTTCTTGAAAAGCCGTGCTCCATAATTCACGCGAAGATGGAAACACCCATCGCCAACTGGGTAGTTTCTGTGCCAGGCTTGAATGATCTGACGAGAGAGTCTCCTCGAAGAGCTCTTGGGCAAACTCTTCACCGTTGCTTCCCCTGCCGTGGAGGAGGATTGCTGTATGAGTGTGTGATTCAATTGGTTCGATTGTATGGACTGGGCCAAATGATTCACCCTGGCTTCCAGCCGCGTTGCCTTTGTCACTCATTGCGATGATGATGCTGAGGGGAAAATGCAATTCTGTGATCATTCAGTGGAGACAGCTGATGATCAGCTACAGCCTCTGGCTTTGAGCAAAAGACAAGAGAGGAAATGACAAATCCAGCTACAGACAAAGACCTTATTCAATGAAATTAAACCTCTCGACAAATTATTTATTATATACATAACTTGTGTAGCTGTGACGCCGTCATTACTTCAATTCTGCAACCAAGTCAAGTCCACTTTATGATTCGACATTCTGGCTTGGTTAACCTACACCACGAAAGAGTCAAAAACGGAGAACCCCGGATATTGGAAAGAAATACCTATACGTATGAAGGAATTTGCAAGAATGAAATATGTTGGATCTCTGAGAACGGATTTCTCTATGTGTATTGCTAAGAACAAAACTCAAAATAAAGTTGCCTCTGAGGCATGACTCGGATAAGCGCAGTCCTACGGCATTTCACTTGACTGACCATAGCACTGCCATGGCTGCATCTGGCGATCTCGAATCGCTTTGGTGTACTCCCAAGACTCCGTATGTCGTGCAGCATCGCGGGGAGAAAGTCGCCGCAGCCATACCGAAGCCTCAAATCAAGATCAATCTGACGGAAAATGCCAAATCGGATATCTTGGCATTGGATCTCGCAGAGCTCCCCGCAGTGGCGGTTCTCATTTCCGGGCGATAATTTGGCGGGGTATTTATCCGTTAGTGAGGGGATTTCGCTTTTCCGTCTCTTGACCCAATGCCATTGACGATTGTGGAGACCCGGATATCCGTTTTCTCTTCTATATTATATAGCTTTTATTCAAAAATTCAACATGACAGAACTGGCTGAGCATGCAAACATTGTCGAAATCATGACCATCAGACACGATTCCAATGCCGTTGAGGCTCGCAAGCCTGCTGTGCAGCCCTCAGAGGCGAAGCTGTTCACCTTGGATGAGATGATCAAGCGTCGCGCCGTGGAGCTGGGAGATACGATCTTGATGGGTGCGCCAGAAACGGGTGTTGATGATTTCAAGGAGCATAGTGCAGTTGATCTCGATAGATATGCTGATGCAGCTGTTGCAAAACTTCAGAGCCTGGGTCTCGAGCCAGTGGTGAGTATAGCCCATGAAGATATGAGGATGAAACTAACTGAATAGGATCCAACGCTCGAGAAAGCACCAGTTATTGGCATGCTGGGTCAATCAGGTATTCACGTTGTGATACAAATAATTGCTCTCAACAGATTAGGCTACTCTTCATTTCTCATCTCAACAAGACTTGCAAGCCCAGCTATCACCCAGCTTCTCACCCTGGCGGATTGCAATGCCATCCTAACAACACCACCTTTTCACCCCGTACTTAAGGAAGTTCAACAAAATCGCCAGCTTCAGATTCTTCCTCTTCTGCAAAGCGCAGATATCTTCCATCACAATGCACCGAGATTCGTTAGAGATTATAGCCCAGAAGCGGAATCTCGCAAGGTCGCTGTCATCATCCACTCTTCCGGCTCAACTGGTCTCCCCAAGCCAATCTATCTCACCAACTCAAGCTGCATTGGAGCTTTTGCAGTCCACATGAACATGCGCGCATTTCTCACATCGCCATTCTTTCATAGCCATGGATTTTACGAGGTATTCCGGTCGATCTACTCTGGCAAACCGATCTATTTGACGAACTATGGATTGCCTTTGACGAGGGAGACAGTCATGGCACAGCTCAAGGCCTCAAAGCCTGAGATCTTTCACTGTGTTCCTTATGTTATCAAGTTGCTTGCTGAGAGTGAGGAGGGCATTCAGATGCTAGCTGATACGAAGCTGGTGCTCTAT